AAAAAAAAAAAAAAAAGAGGCATGGCGCACAGTGCGCACCTCGCAGGGGTAGCGCGTCCCCATGCGCTGCGCGCACGGTGCACCTCGTGCGCACGTTCGTGCACGTGCGCGCGCAGTGTCACCGCGCGCAGTCCGCATGGCGCAGCGCACCGCATCGCGCACCGCACAAATGCGCCGCAAGTATGGTAATTTGTGAAGAGTGATTCCTAATTTGTGCATAGCGATTTCTTATTTGTGAACTATTTCAATTGATTTTATCCTCTTTTTTTTTCTTTTTTTTTTGTGCCTTGTTAACTGCAGATATTGAAGACTCTGTTTGAGATGGTGCTCTTTGAGGAATGCACCAATCAATGGGCTTTGAGCAGGCCTATGCTGAGTTTGATCTTGATAAATGAACAGGCAAGTGTCTCCCTGTCTCCCTTTTTTTTTTTTTTTTTTTTTCTTTTAATTTGGACCTGTGTAGCATCGTGTTTGCGTTCAGTGACCGAACCTGAGCATTGGCGACTGAACGTAAACGAGCACTGCCAAAACCCTCCGAACGCGAACATAAAAAAAGAAAAAAGAGAAAAAAAAGTTCTCAGAAAAATCTGAAAAAAAACACATATTATGGAAAATAAATTTAAATAATAATACAAACAACTTTTGCCTGGGAGGTATGTTCATATTTGTAACCAAACGCGAGTGAAAAATCAAAAACCTTAAAAGAAATGTTAGAAAAAAATATGTTCGACCGAACACACATAGGGGAGGTGTATGTGTGTTCGGTCGAACACCCAGACATGTTCGGGCGCTAGGGGGAAAGTCCTGAACATGTTCGGTGTGCCACACAGGTTAGGACCATTTCTCGATTTATGCGGGTCATCTTTGCACAGGGGCCATGCTAATCTTCTCTGTATCGTTCCCATTTTAACGGATGCCCCGAAGGACTTTTTTTTTTCAGTGGGTATGCTGAGTTTGATCTTGATGTATGAACAGGCATGTGACTCATTCCTTCACTCCCTCTTTGCATCCGTCTCCTGTTGCTTTCCACTCCTGTGGGTATATGCTTGAGGTCGAAGGATCGAACCCTGTCGGTGGTTATATGAAGATGTACACAAAAATCTGATGTACACACGCCAACAAAGTAGTAAACACCACTCGACTGGCGAGATTAACGAGAAGTGAACAACAGCACGGAGTCCCTCCACGTCGTCCGTGAACCCTAGATCCCGCCACGTCATCCGTCAATCCCAGGATCCCGCCATGTCGTCCTTCAACCCTCATCCACCGACTACCTGTTTTACAGTCCAGAACAGCAGCGCAGTCGTCGGACGGTCGACCCAAGAGATAGAGCGAGAGATGGTTAATGGAAGGCCCAAAATTCGGGGGGTTTCGCCACATCGCCACAAGCAACGTCGTCGAAAATTTTGTGAACAAACAATGCTGGCTCAAAATACGAACATAAAAAAAAAAAAAAAAAAAAAAAGCACTTTAAAACCCTCCCTATTCAGAGTAAGCTTTGGGAGTTTGCCAATTTTTTCTCTGAATTCAATGTTATAATTTGTTATTGAACTTATTGCCTGCTTTTTCGTTACGGGTCCAAATACATCGAATCTGAATGTCTGCTCTCCATCTCGCCTCCCTGCGTGAGATTCCCCTCCCCCTTCACTCTGCCTCTTTCTCACAGCGTACAAGTGGGGCGTTATGGTACACATACTACACGGGGATGGGGGCAGCTTGCGCTCAACTGCATCAACGTGGCGAGCCTTGTACGTGAGAGGCATGGTGAAGAGGCAGTTCAAAAGAAGAATGAGAAAAATGAATGGTTTCAGTGTGCCCTTCATGTTTGTCTTGTTTTTTATTTTTTCGTTTCTGCCGTTTGTTTCGCAAAGTGCGCCCTTTTAGCGCATACACATCACACCCAAAACAAAAACAAAATTAAATTAAAAATAAAAAATTCAGGGACATATTGCAGTTTCAGTAAAAAGTAAAAGTTGCTAAAAACTTTGCCGAAAATGACACTATCAAGTAGTATCGACCATTAGTGGGCGCATAGTTCGTATCTCGTTAAACGACGTTAATGATTAATCTAATTATAGTTCCCTAACCTAATCTGAGGTTCCAATGGAGTGGGTGCATAGTTCGTATCTCGTTAAACGACGTTAATGGTTAATCTAATTATAGTTCCCTAACCTAATCCGAGGTTCCAATGGTAACCACAGTCCTATAAAATCTTGGTAGTCCATAAAAACATATCTAAATGAAGCTAAGTACGCGACAAGGTTGTGTGGTCGAACCCTTACACCACGATAGGACAAAGTCGCGAGGCACGAGTACCAGTAACTGAACAACGTGTATTTTAGGGCATCAGGCCCCGCCGTGCATGCACGGCCTCGAACCGGCACCCTTAGCCTCACGAACGAAGTCTCGTAACCACTACAACCCTTGGAGGTGTTATTAAAACTGGATCCATTCCGGTCATGATATCCAGCCCACCTCCAGGGCTGTAGCGTCCTTAAACCAGGTCGCGGGATCAAAGCAGATCCCGTAATCCAGAAAAAACACTGAAAGGTCGACATAAGATCGAGATACGATCGCGTATCTCGATTGCGTCAGGAAGAGGGCTGGTAATGCCTATCACAAAATCATCTGTGTATCGCACATAGCGCAGTAGGTCAGGTGTTGTTGGAGTCGCAGATCATTCAAAACACAATGCGAACTAACAGCCTAGCAAAATACAGACCCGGGGCGGTCGGTGGATCAAACCTTGTCAAAGGGGGCGAAAAAACACGGCACGGCTTGTCCAAGTGCTCGAGTCCCAGTCCAAGAAAACGCAATGCGTAGCAACAACCTACCAAACTACAGACGCACTGGTCGAAGGATCAAACCCTGTCGGAGTAATCTTTTTTCCAGCTCTCTATTGTTCCAATTTTATGATCATTTTTTTTTCCCCCCCGGATCTATGCGTGTCATCCTTGTGAAGGGGCCCCATGCGAGTCTTCCATCTCTGTATTGTTGCAATTTTAGACCGCAAGCACACCTGGGCTTGGGGGCGCTCACTGCACGCCAAGCGCTGCCGAACCACCAGTGGTGCACTATTTTTTTGTTTCTGGCTGGCAACGCCAGCCATTGTGGTTCGCTAGGCCCGAGGCGCGAAATTTCTGGAGTAGGTGACGAAAACTGTTTCAGCCATGTGAGTCTTCCGTCTCTGTATTGTTGCAATTTTAGACCGCAAGCACACCTGGGCTTGGGGGCGCTCACTGCACGCCAAGCGCGGCTGAACCACCAGTGGTGCACTATTTTTTTGTTTCTGGCTGGCAACGCCGGCCATTGTGGTTCGCTAGGCCCGAGGCGCGAAATTTCTGGCGTAGGCGACCAAAACTGTTTCAGCCTTGCCGCCGGCGTCACCTCGGTTATACCTGGGTTGCTAATCCATGCAAGGACCAGGGAAGGGCACAGGCAAAAAAAAAAAAAAAAGGATCCAAAAAAAAAAAAAAAACTATGTTTATGTTACGCAAAAAAATAAACCGAACAACTTTTGCCTCTGTTAGGTCACATGGGAATTCCTCGCCGAATTTTCTCCGGTCGGCCGGCTTTCAAAACTCGTGGAACTCGCGGCCATGTGCACGCTGCTTCCAAGAAAAACGGCGGCGAAATGTACTGGTGGTTTAATGGTGTGCGGTTAAGGATTCTGATGACCTTTTTTTTTTTTTTTTTTTTTTTTTAGACGATGCTTTGAATCTATTCATGGGTAGCAACACGGCAGGGAACCGGACCCAGCGTCCCTTATGAAAGTACGGAATCATGAAATACCGTGGACATCACCCGGTTTCGACTAAGAACACTATAGACGATGAAGAGTTTCTCAAAAAAATTCAGATCCTGATGTACCGAAGGTCCTCGGGACCACGAAAAAAAATAGATGGAAACTCATACATTCCCCTCTATGAACACACGGGCATCGCTGTTTACAGCGAAAAGCCGGATCTCTACCACCAGGCCTGATGCCCCCATCAGGCTAGGTTACAGAGTTGCACCACCTTGCTCCAGCGGTTGTGATGACCTTTTTTTTCTTTTTTGTCCTACGAAACTGATGATCTTTCCTCCTTGGCCTGTCCTGTGTCCCTCTGGCGTGTCCTCTCGGAATTGGAACTGGAACTGGAACTGGAACTGATTTTTTTTTTCTACGAAACTGATGATCTTTCCTCCTTGGCCTGTCCTGTGTCCCTCCGGTGTGTCCCATCAGAATTGGAACTGGACTGGAACTGATTTTTTCTACGAAACTGATGATCTTTCGTCCTTGTCCTGTCCTGTGTCCCACTGGTGTGTCCTATCGGATTGGACCTGGAACTGGACCTGGAACTGGACCTGGAACTGGAACTGGAATTGGGATTTCGATTCTACGAATTGGAATTCTACATGTTGCAGATCTTCAGCACCTTGAGCGGTCAGATTATTTCAGCGCAGGTATGTGCAACGGCTCTGAATTTGGACGTGATTATGCTCCAATACATTCCCTTTCTTTTTCTGACGATATAATCAATTATGCTCCAATACATTCCATTGCTTTTTCTGACGATACTCGACACTGGATTCTTTTCGAAATCTTGTGAATGAATGTGGACGTTTTTGTTGCTCCAATACATTCCAGAAAGTCCCGGTGAGAGTATGCACTTGAGCATTTCATGCAGAGACGTTCACAATCCCAAAAAAAAAAAAAAAAAAAAAAAAATTGGAGACGTTCACACTCAGGGGAGCAGGACAATGTCCTAGGGCTTCTTGCATGGTATCTGGCTGCATTTGCAGTCTACATACGTCCGATACGTCCATGTATGTCTCTTGTTGTGAGTTTGACACCGTGCAAATGACCGGCCAGATCGCGTCCCTCCCTTAAAAGAACTCGATCAGGCCGCTCATTTTGCAATTCTGCGATTTTGAGGGCCTAGTGTGAGTATGCCCCTAAGGAAATTGGTTCTCAATAGAATCAGATTCAATCAATACATTAGAAATGTCTGTTCTTCTTCTACATCTATTCATCCAGTTAACTCACAGAGGTTCCAAATGTATCTGGCTCTGAAATTGGTTTCAGTACAGTAAAAATGTCTGTTCTTCAGACTCTTCTACCATCTATTCATCAAGGTAACCCGCAGGGGTTCCAAATGTATCTGGCTCTGAAATTTGGTTCCATACATCAAAAATGTATGTTCTTCAGACTCTTATTCATCAAGTTAACTCACAGGGGCACTGCACCCGCCGTGCCAACATGTGACAGGTGGGGGGGGGCCTGCAGATGCCTCGAACCGAGCTTGGAATAATAAGCTATTAAGATAGGAGGACACAATAGGCAAGTTTTCAGGAGGCCCCTGGGTCAATAGGAAGTAGGAGCTATAGACGTAGA